TTAGCATAGGTTCACATGCTCAAAAGGAAAAAAAAATAACATAAAAACTTCTAATTATCCTCCTCTCCATCCTCTTCCTCCTCCTCATCCACAAAACTCATAGGTCGCATGCCACGAGGATCCGCAATACTCTCCATCACACATGCTATAGAATTCTCAACTCTCTATCGGCATCCATCCATCTGATCACGAATTTGACAATGCTCTTCATTCATAATACTGACCTGCCTGACTAGCACCTCATGCTCCACCTCCAACGAGCTCGAGCAACCCACAGGAGACTAGTTGAGCATGGCCTTGAATGTCATGTCCTTTGCGCCCAGGCTTTAGACTTTCCCTTTCTTCTTCCTCACTACCAAAATCCATAGCTCAAAAGCAAACTATTGATAAATTATATGCATTAAATGCCTAAATCTGAAATATCAAATTTTTACATAATTAGGAATGTAAAAAATCAAATATCTCATTAAAGAGAGGCTCACGAGAGAAGAAAACGTTATCTTGGTTTTGGAGGGGAGGGGAGAGGAGAGGAGGTCGTCGGAGCCATGATTTCACCAATGGAATAACCCACAGACGGTAATACCAGGTCTGTGGAGGAAAATTGCCATGGAAGCGCCAGAGAGGATGATGTCGGAGGAAAAAAGAAGAAACTAGACTTTGTCGTGTGGGATCCATATTTTGATTGCATTAGTGTCAGACTTGTGTCGGGTTTGCAATATATTTGATCTAATGCTATCAAGTGAACATGTTACGATGTCAAACATGGCACAAACCTGACGCAAAGAGCGACGCAACTCTCTGCAAATTATTAGCGTCCATGTTTATAGCTAGTCAGCTACAAATCCAAAGCCATTAATTGCATCGACAAAAGTTTGACACTAAGTTGGAGGTTTTTTGCAATGGGCCTATACGACAAGTTGGTGCCACAACCACCATCTACAACACTCATGGTGGACTACTGCCTGTACAACAATCAACTACACCCCTTATAGTCTGCTATCACTGAGACCTACACTCATTACAAATTTACAATCAGACTACGACTGTTATCAATGAACTATTGTTGTCATTTACAACAATCAACTTTTTAACTTTATCATCTCTAATTCAAAAGAAGAGTATTGAACATATGTACTCATCTAAACTTACTTGTGACGATGACTCTTGCTTCGAATCATCTTGCCCGCTAGATAAATTTTCATATAAGATAGACAACTCTTATACTATGAGTCAAATATTGAAGGTTCAAACATCCTTCCAAAGAATCATCTCATAGGTTGGTAGATAGTGAGCAGCCACCCTCCAGTTCTCTTTTGGCTTGGTCGTCTCGGCGGACCTTACGACTTCCTTGCAAGTAGTCTCCTTTCATCATACTTCCTTCTTCTGGGCCACTAGATTCATGTAAGATTAGAACTGACACCCTTTTAATGTACTCATTTATATCATCTAAACTTCTCCATATAACCACAAAAATTTCACTGCTACAAGTTTTATAAAAATAAAGATTTAATTATTAAATCAGTCAAAAACTTAGGAATTAAGCGCCATGTATTTTAAATCTTCCAAAACTTTAATCAAAATTTAAAACTTATTTAATTTTCATTCCTCACATACATATAGTTATATAGGTATATTTAGTAAAATAAAAAATAAAACAATATTTAGCATTGCATCCTAAACGAGAAATAGAGCTGCGACATTGCAGACTCGAATAAGCATTTTATTAATTGCCATTAAATATTCCTCATGACCCATCCACTGCAGCCGGTGGTTTAGTTGTATGAAGTTAAGTCCTCCCCTCTCTCCATCCTTATAACTCATCTCTCTCCCCACACACACAAAAAAAAAATCCAAAATAAAAAAAAAAAATGAGCTTTCGCAAGAAATCCACTCCCGGCAGATCAGAAGAAGAAGAAGAAGAAAAACAGAGCATTAATCTCAACAAAGATGAAGAAGATAACAACAATAACAAGAAGAAGAAGAAGAAGAAGAAGAGAGTTCCTTTCAGTAAGCTCTTCAGCTTCGCCGACCCTTTGGATTGCCTTCTCATGACTCTCGGAAGCTTAGGAGCCTGCGTTCATGGCGCCTCCGTGCCCGTCTTCTTCATCTTCTTCGGCAAACTCATCAACATCATCGGCATCGCCTATCTCTTCCCCACTTCCGTTTCCCATCGCGTCGCCCTAGTACGCCTTTCATTCAAAACAACTCCTTTTCTCATTATCTCAATGCTTATATCATGATTATATTTAAATCTGCAGTACTCTCTGGACTTCGTATACCTTGGCATAGTTATTCTCTTCTCCGCATGGACTGGTAATTAAGGCTGATTTTCATTAACATCATAATTATGATCATGGTTATATTAATTTAAACTAATGATGATGATGATGATGAAGAGGTGGCATGTTGGATGCATACGGGAGAGAGACAGGTGGCGAAGATGAGGCTGGCTTATTTACGAGCACTATTGGATCAAAACATTGAGGTTTTTGACACTGAAGCCTCCACTGGCGAGGTCATTGCCGCCATTACCAGTGATATTATCATCGTCCAAGATGCAATATCTGAAAAGGTATTTATGTAATTCCTTATATTTCATATATGTTCTTCTTTTTAATTATTTGATTTTGGTATAATGAGTTTTCTGCAATTGTCAACTATGAAAACAAAAAGGGATTTTGAATTGTGAATCTCAAGGTAATTAATTATTTAATGTTGCTGTTAAGTTCGAAATCCGTATCGAGCCATTATTAAAGTCGGTGTGCGTTAAATGCTGCTGATGTTTGCCGTTATAAAAGTAAGGATATAATTGGCTGGTTAAATTCATTTAATGGTAACAGTGTTGTTCGATCAACTTAGATTTATTAATTGTCACTTCAAATTTATTGCTTTTAAGAAGATTTACGTACGCACCCCTCAATTCTTACGCTAAATTTTGATTTTTACAAAAATACCATCTTATGTATTTTTCTTGAATGTTAATATGGGGGTTTTTATGGAGGATTTGGGTGGTTTAAATGTAAAAATGCAAAATTTAGGCGTTAGATATATAAAAAGTGAATGATATGTACATAAAAATTGTACCTTTTTTTAGATGAGAAATTGACTTCTTTAGTTAAAATTGGTTCGTCAGAATGATAACTCCAATGAGTATATTGGATGATCTCGCTTTTGTTTAATTTCCCAAAATAGTTAGCTGTCTAATTAAAATATTTGCTTCATGTGACTCCATTAATAATGTCTTCTCCAAAATAACTTTATAATTGTATGAAAAGTGCGCGAAAATGTAGTTTGTATGGTTTATGTGCAAAATTCTGCACAAAGTAGACCAATTCATTCCACTTATCATGTTATTTTGCAGTTTCAACCACTTGCACACATACCACATAATAATTCCCATGTATTTACCTATCTACCACCTAAATTTTTTTATTTATATTCATAACACTTTAGTGTCATAATTTCATATACATCTCTTTTAAGAAGTATGTTATAATAAAAATTTGAATATTATGCATGTAAATAAGAGTTAAACTTTGGGATTATATTTTGATAGTATTAAAAGTAATGCAAATGCTATTCTAATTTTTTTTTAACCTCAAAATTAAATTTAATATCATCTATTAATAATATGAGAACAAAATACATTAAGAATTAAGACGATATATTTGCAGTATTTTTTTCTAAAATAAATAGAAATTGCCAAAATAATCTCCATTATTTATATTGGGCCACTTCAATCACAGAATTTATAGAGAGGAGACAAAATATGATCTCACACTCTTTAAATGATTAAAATTCAATTTTAAAATTACAGCAATTATTTGGAGGCTTCCATAAATTTGGATATTAAAGCTCTTTTGCACTTGACTCTTAAGAGAATGGTACGGGATGCATAACAGCAAACAGCAGTAAGCTAATAGAGCATCCCCTATGAGGCAAGTAGATGGCAAGTTTAACAGAAAAATAAATGATGGATATCACTTCACAGCATGCGAATTAATTAAAGAAGCATACATAAATGTATTCACGTGGCTCCTTTTTTTTCCTTACATTTGTACCACCCAAATTTTCATTGCATATATTGACCATCACAATTTAAATTTTTAGAAAGTGAAATAATAGATAAGTGATTAATATGTAAAATTGAAGGTGAGAGGTTAGATATGTAAATACATAAGAATTAAGTGGCATGTATGTAAATCTTCATATAGTTTATGAAACCAACTTATAGGAAGAATTATCATATTTTTTAAAGGAGGACCACTATTTTTCTAAACTAATCACATGCATAATAATAATACTAATAATAATAATATGAATAAATATGAAGTTATATTTGATACATCACTATAGGTAATGGTTGGCATTATTTAATCCACAACCTAAATTTGGTGTCTAATTTAATTTTAGATATTTATTAGCCGAAAATTTAACACAAGCGCACAATTCTTTCGCACCTAAACTTTCATATTAAACACAATTAAAATTTTTAGAAGATTATAAGTAATTTTCTTTCTTCAATGTATTTTAAATCTAAATCAAATTATTATTTTTCTTCACATCATTTTATATGTTATTTGAGAAGATTAATCACCAATTAAATACCATTAAATTTAATAAAAATAGTTTAATTTTATCAATAAAGAAGCCCGAAATTTAAAACCTCATTATTGATACCATTTAAAATATATTTGAGGACTTTAATTATTGAAACATTTTATAAAATTAATATTTTAAATGGTTTTTTTTTTCATATTTCATAAAGTTATAATTATTGTTAAATTAAAAAAAAAATAAAATCTTTTCTCAATGCCTTCTTATGGAAGACATTGCCAAATTAAAAAAGAAAAAAGTAAAAGCTGAATGTTACTTGAAAGAAAATCTGTCATTATTGAGAGAGCAAGCATAGTGTTGTCAAATTATAAATATGAGGATTATTAAATTGGTAATTAATTTTTATTTTTAGGCCTTAAGTAACTAATTTATTTTTTATATAATTAAATTTATATAGTAATAAATAAATGTAATTTATTTTCGCAAATTATTTCATTCATTTAGAGTTTTTAAAAATTATAAAATTAATATGATATTTTTTCAATTAAATCTTCTCCTTTATTGGATTAATTTTCTTGTCAATGTTTCATTGGTTTCAATATATATACTTCGAGAAAATTCTCATCCTGTCCTGTTCATAAATAAACTTTTAATCCACATTTTTCTAGTTTAAATCACAAAGATAATTATTATTATTTTAAATGTTTTTTACTAAATAATCATATACTTAGTTTTAAATTAAAAAAAAAAAACTTTTTAAGTGAATGGAATAGTTTGTAGAAATTTATAGCAGAACCGTTGTAGCCGCCGCCGTCGCCACCGCTCTCATCTCCGGCGATAAACGCTGTCCGAGATTTGTTGAAGCAGAGTTGATTGACAAAAAAATCGGTTTTTTTATTTTTTTTATTTTTTCTTGCATAATAGGTCGGAAACTTTCTGCACTACATCAGCCGCTTCCTCAGCGGCTTTGCGATAGGGTTTTCTCGCGTATGGCAGATCAGCCTTGTAACGCTCTCAATCGTCCCCCTCATCGCCGTCGCCGGCGGCATATATGTCTTTGTCGCCACCGGCCTCATTGCCCGCGTCCGCAAATCCTACATCAAGGCCGGCGAGATCGCCGAAGAGGTCGCCCCCCCAAAGCTCTTGGCTCAACTTCTTCACCCCTCAACCTCTCTTTATGCTCTCGGTTCTAATATCGGTTTTTGGAATCGCAGGTGGTCGGAACTGTGAGAACGGTTCAGGCGTTCGTGGGGGAGGAGAAGGCGGTGAAAAGCTATAGGACTGCGCTGCAGGGTACGTACAAGTATGGGAAGAAAGGTGGATTGGCGAAGGGTTTGGGTTTGGGCTCTTTACATTGCATTCTCTTCCTTTCATGGGCGTTGCTGGTTTGGTTTACAAGCATTGTGGTTCACAAGGAGATATCTAATGGGGGCGAATCTTTTACCACCATGCTTAATGTCGTCATCGCTGGACTGTAAGTCTCTCTCTTCCTTTATGAGTTTTCGTTAAAGACTTTACAAAGATTTGAACCTGGTGGCAGCTGGAGTTAAGTAAAAATTTAGCAGAGTTCTTGAGATTCTAATTTCCAAAAATCTCAGCAGCTGTTTGGTTCAATGACATGAATGATATTTGTTCAAGACTCTCAAACAACCGAATAAAAAATATGTTTTTATGAAATCCGTACTTTAAGAATGCATAAAAAACATGTTTTTATTGGATTCGCCTTGATTCAGCCTGAATCCTTTGTAAATATTACAAACTAGTTATAAATTAGCAGTAACTTGATGTGATTTATATTCAAGAAACTTGGAAACTGTCTAAAGCAGGGTTTTTTTCAAACCCTAACATAAGATTATACATGGAATCTGACTCTAGTTTAAGCAGTCCTAACCTTGAAAGCATCTTAGCTGATTAATTTTGATATACAGGTCGCTCGGGCAGGCGGCTCCAAATATCTCCACATTCCTCAGAGCAAGAACTGCTGCATACCCCATCTTCAAGATGATAGAGAAGAAAACAGTGCGCCAAACTGCGGCCATTGCTGGGCAGAAGCTTCCCATTGTGGACGGCCATATTCAATGCTGTAATGTTTCTTTCAGCTACCCTTCTCGACCCGATGTTCTGGTCTTCGATCGGCTTAATCTGGACATTCCGTCCGGAAAAATAGTCGCCCTGGTTGGAGGCAGTGGATCTGGCAAAAGCACAATTATCTCGCTCATCGAACGGTTTTATGACCCGCTCTCTGGTTCAATATTTTTGGACGGAAAAGATACGCGGGATCTTGACCTCAAGTGGCTGAGGCATCAGATTGGATTAGTTAATCAGGAGCCTGCTCTGTTTGCCACAAGCATTAGGGAGAACATTCTTTATGGGAAAGATGGTGCCACCCTTGATGAGATTATACAGGCTGCCAAGCTCTCAGAGGCTATAACCTTTATTCATAACCTTCCTGATGGTTATGAGACACAGGTAATCAATCTTTTTTATTCAAAGTATGGATTTTATTGAGCTAAACATGAAAATTCCATTCATTAATTATCGAGCCGAACTTAAACAAGCTCCAAATTTATGTGCACTTGTAGGTTGGTGAAAGGGGGATTCAACTATCAGGAGGACAGAAGCAACGAATTGCGATATCTAGAGCAATACTGAAGAATCCTTCCATTCTCCTGCTTGATGAGGCCACTAGTGCCCTGGATGCCGAGTCCGAGAAGAGCGTGCAACAAGCGCTTGATCGAGTGATGGTTGGGCGCACCACAGTCGTGGTAGCTCACAGGCTGTCAACAATAAGGAATGCTGATATCATTGCTGTTGTTGAAGGTGGAAAGATTGTGGAGACTGGAACCCATGACCAGCTTATTTCACGGCCCCAAAGCGTGTACTCATCACTTGTTCAGATCCAAGATGCTGTGACTCTGCGAGGTTCCTTAGAGAGTTCAAGTTTTCAGCGTCCTCAGAGGTAATTATAATGCATACACATTATATACTTTATGTAATGGCCCGAACTCTCAACCCTTAAGATATTGTCCCCTTGGCTGAATTTTCTCACTGTTCTGTCTCATTGGTGTAACTTCCCAAGTGATCAGGCATCTTGAGAGTGCTACCGTACGAGCACACCTTCCAACTGTTACACTACAAGGCGCCTTGATGTCTAAGAGTTCAGCCCCATCCTACTTGAGAGATTTCACAATCTCTCCCACTTAAGCAATTGATGTCCTCATTCTTTTTTATAACCTAGAATCATCCACCATGTAGATTTTAATATCTTCAGACTGGTGTAATGTTTTGATGCCATTGGTAACTTCCTGAACTCTCACCCATGAAGATATTGCCCGCTTTGGCCTAGTGGCCTCATGACTTTGTCCAGTTTCTATAATTTCCCAGGAGGTCGCCCATGTTGAGAGTGCTTCCATGCAGACAAACTTAATGTTGAAGTTTCTGATGAAATTGTAATTGTTACACCAAAAAGTGTCCCAATTTTTAAGAGTTTAGTTTCATTCTACTTGACGGGTTTCTTGTTTTACACTTGCTTTATCCTATTTTTGGTTTTTCTCAGCGTCAAGTTTTCACAAGAGGTTTCTCATGGGGCTGCAAGTTTAGGAGCCAGCTTCAGATCTGATAAGGATTCCGTTCGCCAGACTGTTCCTGAAGAAATCAATCCTACAAAGAAGAAGCATGTTTCTGTCGGAAGATTGTATTCCATGGCTGGTCCTGATTGGATTTATGGGGTGTTTGGCACTGTGGGTGCTTTGGTGGCTGGCGCACAAATGCCGCTTTTTGCTCTTGGAGTAACACAAGCTCTTGTTTCCTATTACATGGCTTGGGAGACGACACAGGCTGAGGTGAAAAAGATTGCTCTTCTTTTCTGTGGTGGTGCTGTTCTGACAGTGATTTTCCATGTTATGGCTCATCTAAACTTTGGCATCATGGGAGAAAGGCTTACACTTCGTGTCAGGGAGAGAATGTTTGGCGGTATGCTTGCTTTCCTCTCCCAAAAAAATTATTTTCTATAATCTCTCTCTCGCTATGTATTATTTTTTTTTATAAAGTTATAACCTTTATCATATTGTCCCTAACCTAGTTTAGACTTTTGCAAAGACTTGCAATCCATTTTTGAACTATATGTCAATTCAGTTGAACATAAATACGTCATAATTTACCTACTTAGCAAATATGGTCTAGAAAATTTTCAAAATCTTCTACAAAGAGAAGATCATTTTAGCTTCATAGTTTATAAAAGTGCCAATTTTAACTCCCATACTCTTTATACATTGGTTGAAATAGTTCCAAGTGATGACTATTTAGCCCCAATTATAATATAAACTCTAGTATTAAAATGGCCGCAGACAAATATTTAGGGGACTATTTTAGCACTTTAGTCTAACAAATTAATTGAAAAAATCTAGCTTCACATTATGAGTAATATTTTTGTTAATTATGTTTCAGCGATGTTACAAAATGAGATTGGTTGGTTTGATGATGCGAAGAATAACAGCGCGATATTAGCATCTCATCTTGAAACTGATGCAACGCTACTTCGAACTATAGTCGTAGACCGCTCGACTATTCTCATTCAAAACGTCGGAATGATTGTGACATCTCTTATTATCGCATTCATCCTTAATTGGAGGATTACTCTTGTGGTTTTAGCAACATATCCATTGATGGTTAGTGGTCATATCAGTGAGGTATGTTTTTTTCTCCTTTTTTTTTTTTTTTCTCATGAGGTAATGAAAGTCTGACAGTCATTCTAATTTTTCCTACATTTTGGGCGGCATCAGAAATTATTCATGAAAGGATATGGAGGTAACTTGGGCAAGGCTTATCTGAAAGCGAACATGTTAGCTGCTGAGGCTGTGAGCAACATTAGAACTGTGGCTGCTTTTTGTTCTGAGGATAAAGTGATTGATTTATATTCGAGGGAACTGAAGGGTCCATCGAGTCGATCTTTCCGTCGTGGGCAACTTGCTGGTCTTTTTTATGGTGTCTCCCAGTTCTTCTTGTTCTCTTCTTATGCCCTTGCTCTCTGGTATGTGATTCCCAACATCCTCTAATTGCCTTCTTTTTTGGGGGCATTTATGTATATACCACATACTTCTTATGTATTTACATATCTAACACCTATACATTCATATTTACATGCATACTGCTCAAATCCTTAATATCACATCAAATATATCACAGTCACTAATTTTGGGTGTTAGAATGTTTGTATGTAAATTTCCAACTCTTTTTTTTTTACATTGTTGCAAACTTACTCTCCATATTTCTTAGGGCCAATTACATACATACCACTTTATTCTGATGTATTTACATATCTAATACCTAAAATTTGCTTTTCACATTAATACCACCCAAATCATTCATATCACATAAAAAGTATCACCATCATAACTTTTAAAAGTTAAATATACATTTTCATGCACAGATAAGGTGATATGCATGTAAAAATTGAGGTTTAGTTGTTAAATATGCAATTACATAGGAAATGAGTGGTATGTATGTAAATCTTCCTATTTCTTATTATAAACATGGATATAACGAGATTGTCACAGAATTGTGAACTTTTGTGACAAGCTTATATATAGCTTGTTTCTGCTTTTTTCCTCCACTGAAATTGTAATTTAATAGAATTCACTCACTTAAAATTATTTTAATCAACTCTTCAAAACTAGATTACGAGTAATAATATCCTTCTATATGTAATAATGCTTCAGGTATGGCTCAGTTCTTATGGGCAAGGAACAAGCAAGTTTCAAATCTGTGATGAAGTCCTTCATGGTCTTGATAGTTACCGCACTAGCCATGGGAGAAACCTTAGCAATGGCCCCAGACCTCGTTAAAGGGAATCAGATGGCGGCTTCGGTTTTCGAAATACTGGACCGGAAGACCCAAATTGTGGCTGATGCCGGGGATGAAGTCGGGAGAGTCGAGGGTGAAATAGAGTTGAGGGGAGTCCAATTCTATTATCCTTCAAGGCCTGAAGTTGTGATATTCAGAGATTTCAACCTGAGAGTAAAATCTGGAAAGACTATGGCTTTAGTTGGCACAAGTGGATCTGGAAAGAGCACAGTGCTGACTTTAATTCTAAGATTTTATGATGTCGCCGCCGGAAAAGTGATGATTGATGGTATGCAAACACATTTTTCTTCCACTTCGCTTACATTTTTTTGTGATTTATAACTTCTTTTTACAGGTAAAGACATTAGGAAACTCCACCTCAAGTCCCTGCGTAAACACATTGGGCTAGTTCAGCAAGAACCCGTTCTCTTCGCCACCACCATTTATGATAACATTATCTATGGAAAGGATGGTGCAACTGAGTCAGAGGTTATTGAGTCTGCTAAACTCGCAAATGCTCACTCGTTTATTAGTTCACTCCCGGAAGGTTACTCCACGAAAGTTGGGGAACGAGGGGTGCAGCTTTCTGGCGGACAGAAGCAGCGTGTAGCCATTGCTCGAGCCATCATAAAGAACCCCGCCATTCTGGGATGAGGCCACGAGCGCCCTGGACGTGGAGTCAGAGAATGTGGGTCAGCAGGCGCTGGATCGAATAATGAAGGGACGTACGACTGTCGTGGTGGCTCACAGGCTATCCACCATTCAAAATGCAGATGTGATATCTGTTCTGCAGGAGGGAAAGGTTGTAGAACAAGGGAGCCACACAGCATTAATCGAAAATAAGAACGGGTCATATTTCAAATTGATAAATATTCAGCAGCAGCAGCAGCAGCAGCAGCAGCAGAAGCAGTTTTAATAGTTGATTAATGGGGAGATATTTCTTCTGAGTGAGCTAGAGAAACAGTGATGATGGCTCACACAGCCGAAATGATCTCTCCTACTTATGCAAAGTGAGTTTTACATTGTTTTCCCTTATTTAAATTATAGTACTGTAATCATTTTTATGCCATGTTGCTATTATTGTTTAGCATAAGGTATCGATTTATACAGTTGATGTTACAAATAGCATTTATACAGCACACCATCCTTCTTTACTGATTGAAAATGTAAATGTGGAGTGGAAATTCGCTCCTGCTTTTATCAGAGCCAATCTGCTGCTGTTTGTTAACTTATCGATTACAATGTGCATACTTTTTTTGTGCTTATTTGTAATATAATTATTGTGTATTGATTCTTAATTTTTTTTTTTTTGTAGTTTATTTTAAGTGTAAAAAATGCTTATAATGTTACGTTTGGGGCAGCTCTCGGCCAATCTTTATTCTGAACAACACCATTTTCCCTTTAGCATCTGTTTTAGGATTGTTTTGAATGTTTAAAATTTTGGAATTTTACATGCACACCACACAATTCCTTTGTATTCACATTTCTAACATCTAAAGTTTAATATTTATATTAATAACACATTGGTGTGATGAACCTATGTATGAAAAGGTGTAATTTGTTGTGAAAAACGATGACAATAAAGAGAAAATTGGAACTAGAAATTAACAAAATATAAACAAAGCGAAACACAAATTTATGTGGTTCGGCAAATTGTCAGCGTTCACAGAGTTGCAGAGGATTTTATTAGCTTGAGGATTACACCCGTTGATCGCCTCGACGATTACAAGAATCCATCCTCTCTCTCTCTCCTCTCCTTCTCTCTCTAACTCTCTCTAACCAAGAGCCACGTCAAGGAGAGAAAAACAAAAGCAAGCATTTTGTTTTGCCTTTTACCAGTAAGCTTAACCAAGCCAACAGAGGAGGGATTTTGGAATAGCATGATCAATGCTCTTAATTAATCCATTGCTTGAATAAGTGGAAGCCCATCAAGCACAAAAGGAAGCCCAACAAAAATTCCCTTTTATCTTCAACAAATCAAGGTGGCGTGATTCATGTAAGGAAAGCTGTGGAAGCAATTAATTTCGAGTATCAAATCTAATTTTCTGCCAAACATGAAAAACTGTCAATTTGAAAAGTGAACCGATTTCCATATTTACAACAAATCTCTCACTTGGAGACTAGGACACTGATTGCACCTTTCACTGGTTGTAACATCATTTTCCTCAAATGTGATATCATCCACATCTGCAACTCAAAGCTCATGTCTTCAAGCTAGAAAACCAACTGATATTGCGCACAACTTCAGTTTCTCAAGAGTAACACCCTTAATCAACATATAAGCATCAACATAGTCTTGTACCTCCAAGCTCTTTTCTGGGTTACTCATGTTTCTGCTTATAACTCTCACTGCATAGGCAATATCCTGCCTCTGTTGAAAGTTTTTTTCAACAAGTTTAGTCATATACCTTTTACTTCCATCAAACATTGTCTTCATCTGGTACACTCACTTGTTGTGTAATATCTTTTTCTATGGTGGAAGTTCTGTCAGCTCCCAAGTCTAATTCTCTGGCTGGGAATTCGTATCCTCTTTGATGGTCAGCTCCCACTTGCTCGAATTTTCATTTTGTAAAATTTCTTCATAGCTCTGACTCATGTGATCCATCATGCAATGCCACAGATTTGTCGTGATTTCTACAACTGTAGTAGCATCAGTGTTGAGTAACCCTATAGTCATATATAATGTGTTAGTTTTCTTAGCCCGATTCAATACTAATGCTCCTTTGGTAACGTTCGAGGTGCTATTTGAGAACATTACTGAATGACCACCCTCATTAAACTACCCAACAAAAATGAGGTTTTTCTTCCATTCAGGAATGTGCTTGACCTTTTGCAAAGTCTATTTGCTCTTGTTAGGGAGTGCAATATCAATATTTCACATCCTCATCATGTTCAGAGCTTTTCCATCAGCTAGATATACATTTCCAAAGCCACCTGCAACATATCTTGACATCAACTCCCGGTGGGAAGATGTATGGAAGGAAACCCTTTAATCCAATATTCTGTCATCAACATAACTATGAACTGTCAGCAATAGTGCATCATATATTTCTTCAGTTATAACATTAACGATATCATTCTCCTTCTTTGGATTACTGCAGTTCTTTATGTGGCAGCTTTGCCACGATTTCAACATGTTGCCTCCTGACCAGACTTTGATTTTGATCTTCTTTTGTTTGAGTTCATGTCATGTAATCTCCCTCTGGAATCAACATTCAGTGTTGAACTCGAACATGAGGTCTCGCCAGAATCCTTCTTATGCACCTCCTCAGCCAAAATTAAATCACGAATATCATCATATTTCAGCTTAGATTTACCGGCAAAATTGTTAACTGTCATCCTCATGGCTTCTCAGCTATTTGACAATAAAGCCAACAATATCAGTGCATGCATTGCATCATCAAATTCAATTTCTACACACGACAATTGATTTGTGATAGTATTAAAATTATTCAGATGTTGTGCAATAGACACACCTTCCGTCATCTTCAAGTTGAATGATTTTTTCATCAGATGCACCATATTATTCATCGATGGCTTTCATACATATCTGATAAAAGCAGTAGTTTTTTCCTTGATGACGTTGTAGGCAATGAATCTCGATATGGTTAATCGAATAACTCCCAGAACCTGTCGATCCAATATATTCCAATCAGCCTCACCTATCTTCTCTGGTTGTTTTCTCAATAACGAAAGATGAAGTTTTTTTCTATAGAGGTAGTCATCTATCTACATAATCCAATAATCAAAATATGTGTCATTAAACTTCTCGATCCCCAATGTCACCACTTCATCTCCAGCCATCATTTTATCCTTAAATCTGAAACCATGGTTTTGATACTAATTATTGTGAAAAACGACTACAATAAAACGAAAATTGGAACGAGAAATTCGCAAAATAGAAACAAAATGAAACACACAGATTTATGTAGTTAGGCAAATTGCCTACGTCAATGGAGTTGGAGAGGATTTTATTAGCTTGAGGATTACACCCGTCGATCGCCTCGAAAATTACAAGAATCTCTCCTCTCTCTAACTCTCTCGAACCAAGAGCCATGTGAAGAAGAATCCAAGGAGAGAAAAACAAAAGCAAGCCTTTTGTTTTGCCTTCTTCTAGTAAGCTTAACCGAGCCAGCGGAGGAGTGATTTTGGAATAATAGGATCAATGCTGTTAATTAATCCATTGCTTAAATAAGGGGAAGCCCATCAAGCACAAATGGAAGCCCAACAACAATTTCCTTTCTCTTCAGCGAGTCAAGGTGGCGGGATTCATATAAGAAAAGCTGTAGAAGATTTTTAGAGAAGAAATTAAGAACAATTAATTTCGACTATCAAATCTAATTTACTGTCAAACATGAGAAATTATAAATTTGAACAGTGGATCGGTTTTCATATTCACAATAATAGTAAACTTTTAAAAGGTTGGTAGGAGTGGTATTTTTATGGAGATTAAAAATTAGATTGTAATATTTGTAAACATTAAAGTTTAGGTGTTAGATTTGTACATACATAAGAGTTGTGTGGTATGTATGTAAATGCTTGTATCAATTTGACATTTGTCTTTGAAACATTGCCGGTGCTACTATAGATTCTCTATTCTTTGATATTGGGATATATTGAGGAAAGAGAACTCTACCACTATTGTAATTACATAGACATGAGAATAGCAATTGGTAAACTCTAATAATTACCAGACTTAATAGAGAGATTAAGAATGCGTCATAAACAATGCTCTAAAATACTATCAATTTGGGAAGAGACCAAACACCATTTAGAATCACTTCCCTAATTCTAATAAATGGAAAGAGATCAAACCTTTGACAAATATATTGTTGGTGATATGTTTTACGTGATGTTAAAGATTTCAATGTCATGCATGTAAATATGAATGTTTAGATGATAGACATGTAAATGCATAAAAATTGTGTGTTTTGTACATAAATGCCCCAATCTATTTATAGGACTCAATTTTTTAACATTTCGTCCAAAAACACCCTAAGTTATAAAGCAGAGCAGTTCAAACTGAAAAACCACAACTTGAAGCAAGCTCTGAATCAATCTAAATGACCAAAGAACATTAAACGTGAAAGAATTGTTTAGCGGATATTTATCAATATTTTTTTTGCGTAAAAAATAGATGAATTATCAAGTGATAAACTTGATTTTCTACCTTCTATGATATTTTAGTGTAAATAAAAAATGTGTTGGCATTAATTCAGATGTGATCAAACAGTTTAAATGAAAAGAGTGCGACGAAGGAGGGTCCGCTAACAAAAGACCATGAGACCTACTTGTCTGCTAAGTGAAGCTATCCGAGCCAAAGCAAGTTAGCCGAATCGCGGGACAGGTAAAAAATGATCGTAAGATACAAGAACGAGTCATTTAGACAAAAACAAAATCAAATGATATCTTTTTCATAAAAGAGCCGGTTCAACAAAAATGTGGTTGCTTAGTTACTCAAACCACCATAGAGATATTTAGAGGCACTTTATCGGGGGTCAGGGATCGACAGTCGAGCCATATCAACTGACTGACTCATTAAGTTCAGATTCATTCAACCAAGCTATTACATCCAACCAAGGGAATCTCAACCGATCGAGTTGATCCTGCCAACCCGAAGACAGTTGAGGTTAGCTGACTAACCCCAAAACAGTCGAGTGATCAGTTCATACATGTAAAATAATAAGAATACTTTAAACAATCATATTTAAAGCAGAGGCAAAAATATAACACCATCGCATTATATCCTCTTCCTTATGGATAAGGAGATCGTTTTATGCATAAGATAAAATTGACACGATATATTACTATTCACTTCTATTAAAGCATGAATGCCTATAAAGTGTTTGAATGGTATAGCGGATGTGAACCTTAAAAAAGATTAAAAAAACAAAGAAAAAAAAATCGGTGCATTAATTACTTAAAATATCTTGATACAGTTAAATTATATATTTATTTTGAATGCTTTATTTATTTTGACAATTCATCACTCTTATGAATGAATACTAAATTCAATATTTAATTTAAATTTATTAAACAATATGATTAAATTAATAAATTTATGTAATAGCACCTCTTATAACAGAAAATATTACGTGCATTAAAACAAAAAAAAAAAAATTAATACACATTTTCCTAAATGCTTCTAGACCGTTCTCTACATATAGAGGAATTATTGCATACGAACAACGCATGCATCTCTGTATGTAGTGTCCGATCCTGACCGTAGATAACGGTGATCTACGGTCAGGATTATTTCATTTTTTTTT